CAGGTTTCCCTGCTATATTGCATGCGCATCGCCATAGGTTGGTCCGGATGCGCGCACACGTAGTCGCCACATGCTGATATGATCCGCTGGGCAACGCGTTAGCGCGGTCGTACTTGAGGCCGAAGTGGCAGAAACGCACACGCATGACTTGGAAATCAAGATCTGCAATAGCATCTCGTAGGGGACCTTGTTTCCAGAAGTATCCTGGTGGCCCCACAAGTACAATGGTCACACGTAAAGCCCGAGCCTTGGACATCAGATTTTGGATGCGCTGGCAGTGTGGCCCTGCCCTCTTGCCAGGCAGCATCACATACCAGTCAGGAGGCGTCGCCACCCACAACAGTTGGTAATCGCCCGAGAGTAATGCACCCATAAACTGTGTACCAGTGGAGGCCATTACCTCTGTATGTGTAATACGGTCACACATGTACCCACGGGCTCGGGGTTCAGCGCAAGCTGTCCGTATATCCTCAACGACACACGCGCGAGAATGATAATGATGCGACAATCCTTCTTTTTCTGCAGCGGCCACACAGCCGGGTCCACTGCTGTTCGTGGCAGCCGCACAGCCAGGCTTGCCGCGGCCCCTGGCACGCACAGCCGGTGCCTGGGAAAAGAATGCAGTATCCCCCGCGCTTGTTGACAGCACCTGAGCGTTCGGCATGTCTAAGCAAGCGCGAGTGGCCGTGGCACGCGCCTGCTCCCGTCAGTCGTTTGGCGATGGGGGCGTTCAAATGCCTGAGCCATGCTGCGCTGCAGAGCCGCTGCTCGAAGTAAAAATATCAAGCTTCTCAACGGCATCATCCCCCTTCCGCAGGTGCCCCTGTGTGTCGGGAGGCGTCCACTTCGTACCCTCCTCGTAGATGGCCTGATGGTCGTATCGGCGTACGCCCCGCAGAGCGAATACGAGTACGAAGTCCGCCAATCTTTCTTCACAGAGTTACTGGACACAGTACGGCCGACGACGCAGCACAGCACAAATTTCTCTTGGGAGACTTCAAAACTAAACTACTTGAACAACGACCTGCGGAAGCGCAACACATCGGTTCACATTTATTTCTTGCACATTCTCTTCGTAGTTCTGTACGTCTCAAACAAATATCAAGCCGGCAACTTTTGCTCGAATACTGCGTCGCGACAGACATGGTCATTGCGAATACGTTTTTCGACATCCCCGTTGAACAACGGGTCACCTACAGAAATCTGGGCGTGCCCCCCATGGACGACGACATCTCACCAGAGAAATTCGCTCAGATTGACCACGTGCTTTGTCATGCTTCAGTGCTTCCTTGGGTGCAATTCTGCAGAACACACCGGCCTGCTGCTTTAAACAGCCACCATTACTTGATGACGGTGGGCCTTGGGTTACAATTTCAGACGAAAACGGCGCCTGCGCGAACTCATGTCGACACGGCCTCGGTGCGGGACCCGACCTTGCAGTTCGATCTCACGAAGCGTTTTTACAGTAAGTGGCAAGACATTCGCGATGCAAGTTGTTCTCTTGACGAGGTTGCGGGGCAGGTCAAAGCTGCTTTTGGTGCTGCGACAGACATCTTCCCACGCAGGTCACAAACCGCCCAGCGACCTTGGATCTCACAGGCTACTTTGGACCTCATCGAACAAAGAGACATCTACAGGCGAACGGGAGATGCTTACAACGAGAGTTCGCTCAACAAGATTATCCGGAAGGCTGCGCAGGCGGACCGCACAAATTGAATATACGATTCTCTTGCTGGAGGAAGTTGGGGCGCAGTCAAACAACTACGGAAGAAGCCTCAAATAAAGCACGCAAGAGTCCGGGATATGAACAACAATTTGACCGATACCGCGAGCCACCCCGATGCCTTGGCCGACTACTTCGAAAAAGTCCAGTGGCAAGTTACCTTCCCGGAGGTGGTTCCTACAGCTACGCGCCCTCTTGGTGAAGAACTGCCGGTAGATGTGGGCCTATTCACTTGGAATGAGTTGTTCTACGTTTTGAAGAAGATGAAGAATGGGAAAGCGGCTGGCCCAGATGATATACCACCTGATGTTTGGAAGACTGTGTATCTACGGATGCGCGCGCCTGTCAAGCATTACTGGAAGTATGCCAAAGATGCTGGACAGAAAAAGACATACAAGAAAAATGGCGCATGGCCAACGTCGTCCTTCTATTCAATAAAGGAGACTCCACATTACCAAGCAATTATCGCCCGATTTCGTTGCTTGCGGTCGGATACAAAGCCCTTGCGGCCATGCTACACCAGCAACTGCTTCAAGGTGGCGCGGAAGATCGTATACGAAGCTCGCAATTTGGATTCCGACCTCGGCGGGGCACCTCCGACGCGCTTCTGCTCGTGAGACGCATGATCGACGCAGCGCTATTGAACAACAGTGGTGGCGTTATTTTACTTCTACTCGACTGGGCAAAGGCCTTTGACCGATTGAAGCCAGAATGCTTGTGCACAGCCTTGACAAGATTCGGGATACCCCCGCCTTTCGTGGAAATGATCAGAGGAATTGATTGCCGCCGGTATTCTACTATACTTGACCATTGTGGCAAGTCTTCGCAACGACGTCAAGCTGCTGGCATTGCACAGGGATGTCCGTTATCTCCATATCTGTTTATTATTGTGCAGACTGTTATGCTTCAGGACGCCCTCTCCGACCTCCCTCTTCAACAAGATCCGGCTACGTGGTGACCAGACATATTTTGTACGCCGACGACACTGCGCTAGTATCTCGACATCGTACAAACTTGCAGCTCGTGCTGGACGCTATTGTGGTAGAAGGAAGGAAAAACAGTTTGGAATTGAAGTGGGACAAAACTGTGCAGCTTCAAAGCCCGATGGAGAGCCCATCAAGATTGTGAAGGAGGCGATATACTTGGGAGGCTCAGTGGCCCATGATGGACGCGTTGGCAATGAATTATCAAGACGTCTCGGAGAAGCAAGAGGAAGTTTTGAGCAATTGTCTAAGTTGTGGACGCACTCCTCCATTGGCCGACGGCGCAACATACTCATTTATACCAGCTGTGTGCTCAGCAAGCTCTTATACTCATTGGATTCACTGTGGCTACTGAAACACGACAGAGACAGGCTCGACGCATTCCACTGCAAATGCTTGCGCCGAATCCTACGGATACCTCATTCGTACATCTCGCGCGTCAGCAACAAGGACGTATTGGAAGAAGCCGGAGCAGAACCATTGTCTTCAATATTAAGTGAACGCCAAGCACAACTTTACAGGAAAGTTGCTTCTGAGACAGACGAGTCGCTAGTGCGGCGCATTGTTTGCAATCGCGACGGCACGCCCAAAAACTGGGCTGTCCGCAGGCGCCGGGGGCGTCCCAGACAGCAATGGGCAACTTCAGTATATAATCAGGCATAGTTGCATGTCTTCTGTTTCTCTTTGTACAAGTATGCTGATTCGTTTTTTGCTTCGCCTACGTGTCTGCAAGGGATGCAAGGCCGCAGTCAGTCAGTCTGGGCCCTCTGGAAGCCAAGTCCGGGCCCATCAACCACCAGCATTAAGCCAAGCATCCGGAAGGATGCTCAAGCAGCTCGCCCGCTTGAATGCCCCGCCCACACGTCAGGATCCCGCCCTGTCGGCCCGCCCGCACGTCCCCTTGCCTGTCGGGGTCCGCCCGCACACCCACCCGTCAGGGTCCGCTCGGCCGCTGGCGACCTGGTCCGCCGGCCAACACAGGGCGACGAACTCCATACTCCGGATTCCATAACAAAGGGGGGGGGGTCACATGTGGGGGGGGGTCTGATTCGAGCTGTCTTGGAGGGTTCGGAGGGGATCTGGGCAAAGGGCCACCCTTTCATGGATGGTCTGGGGGGGTCTAAAACTTCTCGTCTGGGAGGGTTGTGACCCCCTCCCTTTTATCACGAAATCTGGAGTACATGTCCACTATCCTGAACACAGCAACGGTGTACATGTCACGCCCTCCTGGTTGGGCCTTGGCGCGCGGAGCGCGGATCCGAGAAGTCCGCGCGGGCCTCCAAGCTTGTATGCTCATGTCATTCTGCGTTCCCCTAAGGGCGTATACACAGGTCCCGGGTCCAGGATGGGCCTGGCCAGGGAGCAGTGGATGCGTGTGAACTTCGTCGCCAGCGCACAGCTCCTCGGCGGGCCCCTCCGCCCGCACATCGGTCTTCGGCGCAGCGGTCCGCCAGCGCTCTGGCCCGCCAGCGACCCTTGTTCTGGCGTCTGTCGGCGAAGCGCGGCCCGCCAGCGAACAGGCCCGCGGGCGAAACAGATTCGCGCGAAGCGGCTCGGGCGAAACAGTCCACCAGAAAACCAGACTCCTCCTCCTCCTCCTCCTCCTCCTCCTCCTCCTCCTCCTCCTCCTCCTCTTCCTCCTCCTCCTCCTCCTCCTCCTCCTCCTCCTCCTCCTCCTCCTCCCCCTCATCCTGCGGTGGCTACGCCCCTCTGCGACGGAACCTAGTGTTCGAACGGTTGCCCTCTGTTGCATTTTCGAGGGACCTTGCCTGTCCCGTCGCGCCTCTATCCGCGTCGAATCCGTGCCGAGTCCATGTCGGACTCGTCAAATCCTCGTCGAATCTGCGTCGGAGCCACGCCAGATCCACGTCGAGTCCGCATCGAGCCCGCGTCGGGCACAAGAAAAGGCACCAATTTGGGGGACAGACGAGGTCCCCCGAAGACGCAACGTAAGGGACGGGTTCGAGAGGTCTGGGGGCTCGTGTACTGAGAAAATCGGAGACGCCGGCTGCTATTCCTCGCAGGCTGTCAAGAGAACGAACCTTGCCAGACCTCGAATGCTCCAGGATGGGCCCGCGGACCGCGCGCGAGCATTTGCAAATTGAGGACCACGGCCCCTCCTGAAGGTCAGCGAGAAAAGACTGCCCACGGCACCGAGCGTCGCGACGTCCGCAGCACTGTGATGCTGCCAGGCGTTGCTAACAGGTTGGGGATGTCGCAATTGTCCTGGGGAGGACGCGCGCGGCACAGCCGCGGCTGCGGAGTCGGCCGGTCCGCCAAAAAATCGTGGTGGCTCAGGTCGGCTGACCTGGCCCGAACATACTCGCGACGGTCTGCCCAGGCAGCACACGGCTCAGAAGCCGCTCTCCCGGCAGGACAGCGTCCACTCGTGCGACTCCACAGCCAAAACCACCCGCGCGATGATGCGCCACCAACTGGGTGTAGATGTCCGCAAGACGAGCGGTCGACCCTGCCCAGACTCGGCAGCGCCCCAGCCCACCGAGGGTCACGAAGAGTATCGAATCGCCGTCGACCAACGCCTGCAAAACCAGCGCTGGCAAGAAGTGAGCCGTGTACGTCAAGCCCCGGAAGAGCGTCGGGACGTCACACTGGCCGAAGTCATTGCCGCCACAGGCCACAGCTGTGCCATCGCTCCTGAGCAGAACTGTGTGCGCGTCTCCAGCAGCAACCTGCGTGTAGGTCAGGTCAGTAACCAGCGCGGGAACGTCACATTGGCCATGCCTGTTCAAGCCACATGACACGGACGTACCGTCGCTCCTGAGCAGAACCGTATGGCCGTCTCCAGCGGCGACTTGTGTGTAAGTCAGGTCCATGACCAGCGCCGGGAGGTCGCACTGACCATGATTATTCCAGCCGAATGTTATAGCCGTGCCATCACTCCTGAGCAGAAGCGTATGGTATGCTCCCGCGGCAACTTGCGTGTAGGTCAGGCCCACGACCAGCGCTGGAATATCACACTGGCCACGATCATTCCAGCCGCAGGCCACGGCCTTGCCATCGCTCCTGAGCAGAACAGTGTGGCCATCTCCAGCAGCGACTTGTGTGTAGGTCAGGCCTGCGGCCAGAGCTGGGAGGTCGCACTGGCCATTTTCATTATCTCCGCAAGCCTCGGCCCTGCCCTCGCTTCTGAGCAGAACGGTGTGGCCGTCTCCAGCGGCAACGTGAGTGTAGGTCAGGCCTGCGGCCAGCGCCGGGAGGTCGCACTGGCCGCGATCGTTCCGGCCGCACGCCACGGCCTTGCCGTCGCTCCTGAGCAGAACAGTGTGGCATCCTCCTGCGGCAGCCTGAGTGTAGGTCAGGCCCGCGGCCAGCGCCGGGAGGTCGCACTGGCCGTGATCGTTCCTGAGAAGCCAAGAGGGCCATAAACACTGAAGGGGCCCTGAGACACGCAAATAAATACACACAGATAAAAGGATTCCGCATATTTTCCCATATTTTCTGGGTTTTCGTCTTCCCCCCACTTCCCATATTTTCCCATATTTTCCTGGGGATCGACGCTCCTGAAACACAACCATCCGAAGGACCGCGCAGACGTCACTCCCCGTCGCCGGGCCCCCCTCCCCCACACCCCTGCCCTGGCGCGCGGCGTGCGCCGGGAGCGGCGCGAGAGGCCACAGGGCCCCGCGCCGACGCAGAGGAAGCCGCGAGGATCCCCGCGAGGCTGTGCTCAGGCAGCGACTTGTTCTGAAGAGCGAGCAAAAACATAAAATGTCGACGGGCCTCGCGGGTGTCCTGGATCTCCGCCAGAGCCCCCTGACAGGCGCGCGCAGGGCGGGCCAGGGGCGGCGCCGGAGGCGCCGCCAGGGGGCTCCAGCGCTGATCCAGGGAATTCGCGCGGAGCTCCGAAAGCTTCTGTTCATGATATTGTCGCATTCGTGCTCTTATTGGTCGACTTCTCATCAGCAGCCGTATTAGCATTCCTGTTCTTAACCATATCATTACTAGTATTGGCATGATTAGTGATATCATTAGCGTCAATAGTATGAATGCTGCTACCAGTATTATGACTATATGTGATATGTTTGTTCTTCCTATGAACCATCGTAGTCATATCAATAAGACGAGTATTGATGCTGGTAGTAGTATGTCAATGCTTATTACTATTAGTTGTTCATTTCTGCTATTATTATTGTCAGAGAGTGTGCTTGAAATCACCGTTATGAGTATTGAGAGCTTGGGGCCCTCTGATTCCAGCCGCAGGCCACGGCCTTGCCGTCGCTCTGCAGCAGCGCCGTGTGCCGCCACCCCGCCGCGAACATCCGCGGGCGCCTCCCCCCCCCCCCCGGGCGGCCCGCGGCCACTCGGGCTAGAAAAAAAATGGCGGCGGCAGCGCAGCCACCGGGAGGACGGGGAGGAAGCGAAGAAGATTCGGCGGCGGGCCTGGGGGGGGAAGGTGAGAAGGGGCTGGGCCTCCTCAGAAGGCTCGGAGGGCCCCGGGCCGCCCGAGAAGTGTCGCCGCCTGCTGAGAGGGAGGGCCTTCTCCCTCTCACGGCGCCCCCTCGCTCGCCGCCGAAGGAGGTGGCGACGAGCAGGGGGGGTTGGAGCGGGGACCGAGGGGCAACGGTCGGGGGGGGACTGGCACAGGGCGGAGGCAGCGACCTGGAGTCGGCGATGCATCGCAGGTGGATCGCCGATAGATCGGCGATAGGCCCTCAACAGCAGATCCGCGCGTTCCTGGGCGGCGTGGGGCCATCGGGCCCCACTCCACGATCAGGCGGGCGTAAGACCCAGGTACAGGGGACTCGGAAATCCCCGGCGAGGTCGTCAAAAAAATGACGAGGCCGAGCCTGCATTTTGACGAGGCCTCCCGCTGCAGACATCCCACGAAACTCCCACTCGTCGAAATCCGAATCGCGGTCGTCAAAAAACGATGGCGAACCCGAGCCCTGGCAAACCCGGGTCTTACGCTCCCCCGACATGAGCGATTGGGGGTCGATGCATCCCCCGCTGAGCCTGTCCCCCCTTATCCTTATCCCTGAGGGACCGTGCAGGAGGAGTGGGAGGGGAGGAGGGAGGGGGGGAAGAGGGAAGAAGGAGGAGCAGCAGCGGGGGAGAAGAGCGACAAGGAATTGGGGGGGCGAGATGAGGAACGACGGAGGAGGGGGAGGAGGAGGAGGAGGAGGAGGAGGAGGGAGGAGGAGGAGGAGGAGGAGGAGGCGAGGAGGAGGAGGAGGAGGAGGAGGAGGAGGAGGAGGAGGAGGAGGAGGAGGAGGAGGAGGAGGAGGAGGTTCTATGTGTGTCCGTCCACTTTAGGCGACAGTGCCCCGGTGTGGCCAGTCCCGCCTGTTGTGCCCGCGCACTTCGCGCTGGCAGCTGCGGGGCTGCTGCTGCGGCCGCCTCGCTCTTCACACTGTGCTCTTTCTCGCCCTGCTCCCTCCACGTTGGCTTCGACCGTCCGCCCTCCGACCCACCGAGGCGGAGGGACGGTCAGGCGCCGGTCAGAGCGAGTGGTGGTGGGCGTCGGGCACGCGCTGCCCACGCTCTCGACGCGCGCATCTGCGAGAGCTCGGCGCCCTGCCAGGCCCGCGGAGGACGGCTCGGGCGCAGGCCGCACGCCCTCGCGAGCGGGGGGCGCGCGGCGCCTGCCGGCACCGAGCTCGTCGGGCGACGCCGCGCCCTGCCGTGGCCTGGCTCGCCGTGCGCCGGCGGCGTGCCGAGGCGGGCCCGCGCACTGCCGCGCCGGGCTCGCAGCTCCACCGGCGGCCCCCCTCGGCGGGGCGCTCCGCGGCGAGCCGCTGCTCCGCGAGGCGCGGAGAGGCGGCGCAAAGAGGCGGCGCTGCCGGCGGCGTGCCACACTCGGCAGGAGCAGCAGCAGCAGCAGCAGCAGCAGCAGCAGCAGGAGCTCGACCACGAGAAACCTTCCACAAGGAACCCATCCCTGGAGCCCCAGGGCGACGTCCATGGAGCTCTCGCGCGGGAACGGCACGGCTCCCCTAGCAAAAAAACATCCGAGCCCCAAGAAACCCGGAGCACCCTGGAGGCGAGCAGGGCGCTCCTTGGCATGGGCTCCTACTGCAGGAGCCGCAGGAGCAGCAGCAGAGACAGAGTTGAGCCGGGCGAAAGGGGGGGATGGCAGAGGAGGGGGGGGGGGGGGAGAATCAGCTCACGTAGCTGATTTTCCCAGCGCCTCCCGGCGCCGGAGGCGGCCATGCATCGAGGAATGAGCCCCTCGGTGGGGTTGAAACCGGCTGCATGCAGCAGAATTTCGTAACCCCCCTTTCCCTGTCCCCCCCCTGTCGTTCGGCCCGAGAGAGGGGAGGAGGCCCAGCTCTGGGCCGCGCTGCACACCTGCGCGCTCGCCCCCGCGTGCGCGGCCGGCGCCCGCCCGAGGGGCCACGGCCCCTGGGCCCCGGCGGCGGTGGTGGTGATGATGATGATGATGCTGCTGATGATGAGATGAGGAGGAGGAGGAGGAGGAGGAGGAGGAGGAGGAGGAGGAGGGAGGAGGAGGAGGAGGAGGGAGGAGGAGGAGGGAGGAGGAGAGGGAGGAGGAGGAGGAGGAGAAGGAGGAGGAGGAGGAGGAGGAGGAGGAGGAGGGAGGAAGAGGAGGAGAGAGAAGGGGACGAGAGAGAGAGGGAGAGAGAGAGAGAGGGAGAGAGAGAGAGAGGAAGGCGGAGGAGAGCACGGATGAGAAAATGGGTAGGACGGCGAGGATGAGCGGGGGGAAGGAACGCTTCCATTTATCCCGTTGGTTGTCGTCGTGACCGCAGTGGGAACCTTGTCGCCATGTAGAGGGAGAGGGTTCTGACGTCGAACATAACGTCTTGCCCCTCCGTTTCCTCATTGAGCACTGTGAGTAGTGCACCCTTTTTATGCATCCCATACTGGCAATATACAGGCTGCGCTGGTATGTCAATTTCGTTGAGCATGCTGCCCCCCTTATGCATCAATGTTTTAGTGCAGTGGTCAGTCTCTCGTGGATATCTCCCTTTATCCCCCACCCGCTCATAAAGAAGATGACAGAGGCAAGCCAGCAGGCAGCAACATGGGGGCGAGACGGACATGTCGTGCATCTCGCCCCTCATATCCCTCCCTCTCTCTCTCTCTCTCTATTCCCCCCCTCTCATTCTCTCATTGTTTTGTTTGCTATCTCTCTCTCTCTCTCTCTCTCTCCCCCCCCCTCTTCTTTGGCACTCCTTTCCCCCGTCTGACTCCCGCTGCTCCCTCGACCTCTTCCTTCCCCTGCCCCCCTCACTGCAGCTCCCCGTCGCGGTCCTGGGCGAACGATTCCCCCTGCCGAAGCAGCCTATGAAGATGCCCAATTGCCGCACGCGTGCGCCCCATTCCGTCCCCTCGCTCCTTCTTTGCCCCCTCCCCTTTTTAGTCCCGCATGGACCTCTCGCCTTGTCAGCGATTGGAGACATGGTCTACGATGGCGACAGCACGACCTCAGATAGCCTCCAGTACGGCGTAGTCTAAGGAGGAGGAGGAGGAGGAGGAGGAAGAGGAGGGGGGGAGGAGGAGGAGGAGGAGGAGGAGGAGGAGGAGGAGGAGGAGGAGGAGGAGGAGGAGGAGGAAGACGACAGCACGACCTCAGCTGGCCTCCAGCACGGTGCAGTCTACACCCGACGAGGCTCTATATAGGTGCCGTACCGGCAGCCCTGCTATACAGCACCGCACGCTCCCACTGCTCTGTGCTCTGGGGCCGAGCTCGGTCGAGCTCGGCTTGTCCCCCCCTTCCTCCTCCTCCTCCTCCTCCTCCTATCCTCCTCCTCCTCCTCCTCCTCGTACCTCCTCCTCCTCCTCCCTCCTCCTCCTCCTCCTCCTCCTCCTCCTCCTCTCCCTCCTCCTCATCCTCCTCCTCCCCCCCTCCTCATCCTCCCCCTCCTCCTCCTCCTCCTCCTCCTCCTCCTCCTCCTCCTCCTCCTCCTCCTCCTCCTCCTCCTCCTCCTCCTCGGGCCCCGCGGCACCATGGCGCAGCAGCCGAGCAGAAGCAGCGCCAGCGCCACGGCGCCCGCGAGGAGCCACCTCTGGTCCAGGCCGCCTGCCATGGGGGGGGCTCTGCGGCGCGAAGACGTCGCACGTAGGGAGAATCTGCCTTTGACCAGTAAACCATCGAAACCAGGCAAGAATCGACCAAAACGGTGCTTGTCGTATCCGTCATGTTTCCGATGTCCCTCGTCTTGCTTCGACCCGCCTCTGCCGCAAAGCGCAGCCGAAATGGAAACGTTCTACGAAGTCGTGAAAAAAACACTGTTTAGGTCGAGCCCTGAACAAATCAAGGTAATGAATCTTCTGTAGGGGACCGCATGCGAACCCAACCCCTACCCCCCACGATTTCTGAGAGGGGCGGGGCTCACTTCGCTCAGGAGCTCCCGAGCGAAGTGAACCCCACCCTCCTCCTTGGGAATCGTGGGGGGTAGGGGTAGGGTTCGCATGTGGCCCCCGATTCTGGTCCGCACTCGCACGACGAAAACCTGCATACCCGAGGTGATCCAGACTGACGGTGTCATGAAATACGCCTTGCCGAGGAGGACGAGGATCACGAAAGGACACGGGGATGCTACGAGGCCAGCGCGGACGCACTCCAGGCTGGAGGGATGGTACGGAAATTAAGTGGAATGCCCCTCGAATTATGGTAAACAATTGTTACGTCGTTTCTAGTACTAGTTCGCATTAAAAACCACGCGCGCGCGATGAGGTTCTAGCGCAAGGCAGGAGACGTTACAACACATTGGGATCCCTCGCCATGTTCTCCACCTCCCCCTTTTCAAAGGCGACGGAAGAGGGATGGGACACAAACGATGGGAAAGGGGGAAAAAATTGAGGGAGGAAAGAATGGGGAACAAAAGACCGGGCAAGGAGGAAGGGGCGATGCAGAAGGGTGGCGGGATAGTTGTGATGATGTCGACGGCGAAGATGACGGTGCTTGTGATGAGTATCTTCATTATTCTCGTTTGTTTGACGATTCCGCTTGAGTGGAGGGGGAAGGGGAGAGGGAGGGTGCGGAAGCTGACGCTAACGGGAACACTGATGATGACGATAATGGTGATGACGATGCCGATGCTGATAGCAATGAAGATTGCGATGACAATGACGATGACAATGACGATGACGATGACGATGACGATGATGATGATGATGATGATGATGATGATAATGATAATGATAATGATAATGATAATGATAATGATAATGATGATGATGATGATGATGATGATGATGATGATGATGATGATGACGATGATGATGATGATGATGATGATGATGATAGTGGCTTGAGAATAACATGATCATAATCAGAATCAGGATGGTGGGCATTATGATGACGATGATGGTGATAATGATGATGATGATGATGATGATGATGATGATGATGATGATGATGATGATGATGATGATGATGATGATGATGATGGAGGTAGTGACCGTGATGATGATGATGATGATGATGATGATGCGGGGGATGATGCTGATGACGATGATGATGATGATGATGATGATGATGGTGATGGCGATGGTGATGGTGATGGTGATGATGATGGAGATGATGATGTGGTGGTAATAATGATGACGCTGGTGCTGATGATGATGTTGATGGTGGTGGCGATGATGATGAAGTTGAAGATGATGACAATGATGACGATGACGACATTGATGACGATGACCATGATCATGATGATGATGGTGATAGTGCTGCTGCGGATGCTGTTGCTGATGATGACGATTCTGATGATGATGATGATGATGATACTGATAACGATGATGATGCTGATGATGTTGGCGATGCCGACGATGGCCATGACGACGACGACGACGACGACGACGATGATGATGATGATGATGACGATGAAGATGGCCCGAACCCTCTGGGGAGACTCTTGGAAGCAATTGTGCAGCCGTTTGGGACCTCTGAAGGACCGTCTGGGACCCTCGTGGGGTTTTTGTGGGGCCTCTTGGAGCCTCCACCCGTGAAGCTGTGTCACTGTCAAAACAAACAGTCCCGGCGCTATAGCACAAGCCGCAATTTGTAGACTCTTCGACCTGCACACGCGCAAGCGTTAAAGCTTTTGATAAGAATGCGTCCGGCGCAAGGGCGATAGTCACATCTTCAAAACGGCCAGTCCTCCACTGGTGTGACTACTAGACGAACAAACTGTCATGCCCATGATTGGTAGGGGAGACAAGACTGTCAGCGCGAAGAGGAAGAGATACACAGGAACAAGGGCACTGGACAAGAAGAGAGAGGAGGCCAGGGAGGGGGAGGCAGAGCAAGGAGAAAAAAGAAATCAGGGGGAGGCGGGAAGGAGAAGGCGGGATGTGCGAGGAAGGTGTCAGGAAAGGAGAGGAAGGGGAGAAGAGAGGAAGGGGAGGAGTAAGAGGAGAAGAGGAGGCGGGTCCCCACCAGGAGGGTCACGCTCCACAATCTGCCGCTATCTTGCCAAGGCCCTCGCCCTGGCGCCCCTTCGGCAGAGTCGGAGCCTGCCTCCAGCAAGCTGGCGGGCACGCGCGGAACTCTGCACCCCTGCAGAACGAAGTTTCTTAACCGTGTTTAATAACAGATCATGCGCTACGGCGATGCTGCACGCCTCTTCTATACTGAGAGGCCGAGTGAACAAGAGGGGGCCAGCACCCCCCCCCCCCCCCAAGCAGGGAGACAAGGCAGGTGGGATCGCATCACTTCGAGAAGTACAGGACACTGAAGATACTGAATGGTCTGATCCGCCCCAAGACATCGACACCCAAACCTGCACCCAAGAGTGGCCCTACGGCATCTCAGAGAGGTATTCCAAAAGTTACAAATACTGCGGAGCAAACTCAACTGGGCGAACGCGGCGAGGTACTGACCAACCCATCTGAGACGGACAAAGCACATGGAACTCGAGTCGGCAATACCGCAAGAAAAGCGCATGTGCCAATACCGCAACCGCGCTCGCGCACGAGAGCCTGGAAACTCCTGAAGGGGAACTGGCCTTGGACGGGGCGGGTCATGGTTGTCTCGGGCCCTGGTTCGGAAAAACTGGGCGCTTTGGGGATCCTCGGGAGTACTTCGAAATTCTGATGCACCATGACAACAGACGACTTGCAATAGACAGGATGATGACCAGCGTTAACAAGGGCTTCCCCATCGTCGAGGGCATCCTCGAGCTTCGCGCTACATGCAAAGCACACAGCAGATGCAAGCACAGCACGATACGCTGCAGCTTTACTTGCATGCTTCGTGGACCAATCAGACACCTGATTATTCCCTATGGCGGTGAGGCTGCACAACATATCATCAGGCATGGCGCCTCTCAACGTCGGCGGCGGGCGGGAAGAATTGGGCAACAAAGAATCACTGTAACAGCGACCTGGTTACAAGCTTTCAGCGAGAGCGCGAGCCCTGTATTGAGCGACTTGATGAACCGACAACGCTCCCTGAACGTCAAAATAGGGCCGGTCCAAGTGTCTTCTTGCGGCTTGACACCACGCTGACCCAAGGTACCGAGCACTCGACCCCCTCTCCATCTGGGAACCATTGATACGAACGTCTCGAGACTTTTTAATATCGGTCTGTCGGTCGAAATCGCGCTGAAACAGGACAACCGTTTTCTTCAGGTTCGGGGCCAGCCCAGCAGCAGACGAGGCGAGAAGGAAGACACGCACGAAAGTAGGCACCATCTCATAGATGTTGAAGCTGGCAGGCACTACATCGTCGGCGAACGCACAATGCAAATGAGCAGGGCGCAGCAACCTCAAGCACAGATGCCGTAGAATAGGGTCCACCCCAAGAGCGAATACCGAGACTGACAGAGGACACCCTTGCTTGATTCCTCTCGAGATCGCGAACGAGCAGCGTTCTTGCCCCTTAGGACGAAGGCAGCGCGCACATTGATGTTGAGAGTTCTGCTGGCGTAAATAACTAACGAAGGAAGCTGCATCTCATTCAAAACGTGGAAGATCCACTCGGGACAGAGGCTAGGGAACGCGGCTTTAATGTCTAACGAGATGGCGCCTGCGGTGCCCCTCAACTGGATCCCCGCCCCGACGACCACGTGAGTCTCGAACTCGACCAGGTTATCTATCACGCTTCGGCCCTCAACGAAACCCCGCTGGATCCCCGAGGCGGCGCCCACGCAGAGCATCTTCAAGGGGCAGTTAATCGCGACGGCGACGATCGCAATGAGGCGGTTCGAGAGAGAGATCGGCCCAGTGGCCTCGGCGGCCCCCCAGGGTTCGGGCCCGCCCCCATCCACAGAGCCCTTGGGGGGGGAACACGGAGTTCCTGACGTTGAAGCCTCCAGGGACCTGACCGAAATCCATTGCGCGCTCGCACGCTCGAAAAGCGGCCCATCGAACAAACCGGCCCCATCTCCGACCAGGGGGAGTAGCAAAGCCTACCAGGGCCCGCAGCAGAGCCCCGAAGTTGGCCCAGGATGCGGATAAAACTCCGCTCCGCTATCCTCCAATCCCGCCGAACAACAGCACTCCGAATGAATCCAGGGAATTGGTCACGAGCGGCAGGCTGAGAAGAAGCAACGGCGTGAGCGGCGCCCCAGTGGGCAGCAAGTGCACAAGCTCCAGCACCTGCAGACTGCATTGCATTGCCTTCGACATCCGCGATGCCAGCGAGAAACACTCTGCGATTCTTAGAAGACCGCGCGGATACCACGCGCTGTAGAAGTGCCGCGCAATGCTCAATATATTGAGGATGGGCTTCGGTGTCACCTATAACCGAATCGTGTCCACGCTGCTGCTATCTGAGACACGCAGTCATAAAATGCTCGTTGGCCGCGCCACCGACATGCAACAGGATCGAGAAAATCGAGGAGACGAGGGGTGGCCTTCGCGGCCTTCACCACAGCGAGGGAGGCACGCGAGCTCACGGCACGGTTGACTGCGAACAACCATTGCATGCGCTGTCGAGGATGGTCAGGCGGCAGCTCGGACAGCCGATGCTGGACAATGCGCCCAGCCTCGTGCATCAGACAGGTGAGCTCTTGGATCGCCACCGGGACATTTGACTCGCACGCGCCATGCTCATCAATCAGCTTGTCGAGCACAAGTTTTAAAGCGGATGCGCGGAGACCCATGGTGGCACGCTGGAAACCTCGCCCCCCCCCCGCCCCCCCCCCCCCCCGCCCCCCCGCATTTGAGAAGAAGTAAACAGGGGCATGGTCACTAGAAAGGTCAGCCTTACAAATGTTCCAAGCGGTTCCAGAAGTCGGTCTCAAGTCCAGGAAATCACCTGCGAAAAAATGTGGTACGTATCCTATCGAGCCTGGAAACACTAACGACCTGCCCATCTCTGGTGGCGCGGTGGGTCGGGGTCTCCTGGACACATTCGGTGATCCAGGGAGTCGGGCGAGTTGTGCTTGATGGCCCCGTCGACGGTTTGAGTTCACCCCCAGAGCTCGCAATAGTTAAAGTCACCGACAAAGAAAAAGACCCCCTGGACCGCACTAAGGAAGTCGGCGCACTAAACCAGCACATCGATCTTCTGGCGCTGGCGCAGGGCAGGATCGAGATGCAAGTTGAGCATGGTAAGACGGCAGGATTCCGACTTCAAAGCGGGAGCGATGAGACGGCCAGGAATGAGAACGCGAGGGGGATCGGCAGCGAGCGTAGACAGCAGAGACTCTGCCACCAGGATGGCGACACCCCCAGTATTCACCTCGGAGCAGGAGGAGCAATATGCCTCGAAGGATGGGAACTTGGTGCGCACCAATTCGCTGCCCCCATCGTGCCCGTGGGTCTCTTGGAGACAAACAGTATTGATATCTTCCATAATTTGAAGGAGACGGTCCCAGGTCTTCCGCTGAACATCATGACCACCAGAAACGGCCCCGAACAACGCGTGACAGTTCCAAATGAGAATTTTCATTCCACGTCCGCGGGAGAGGGAGGCCACAGCGCGCTGATGACTCTGTTATGTTGGCGAGCGGCCAGCGGCATGTCACGCCGTATCCCAGGTGCGTGGACAGCTCGGTTTCGGTAGTCGGACCAATCGACAGGATTGGCAAGGAACCAAGCGTGGAACTCACTCGCGTGGGCCTCGCTCTCGAATGTGACGGAGAACGCCTGCGAAACTTTGTGGAAAAGGCCCACCATGTTGGCGATCAGGTGGGACAGAATCATATCCTGCAGCTGCTGGAACACGGTGCGACAGTGTGGCTCGGTGGCAGGACACGGGAAATCCGCAATCCACCGGCGAGTCTCGTTCACTTCATCACGGGAACGATCGATGACAGGAACTTCGAGCGAGCCAGCAGAAGAAGCGGCCGTTGTCCTCCTTGACTATGCGGAAGGGACTCCTGTGGAACTGGCACTGGAAGGTGGCCGAAAGATCTCGCGCAGTGACTTCTCCAGACCGAGGACCTTCTCCTGCATCTGCTTGGCGATGGAGGAAGGTGTAACAGGACCATCAGCATCTCCATCCATTTGGAGCATCTGGCCTCGGATTTGTCCTGCTCGATCTTCGAGACGCGAATGTCGAAAGCACTGACCATCTCCTTCTGGATGGCGCTGGCCTCCGCGAAGCCAGCCTGCATGGACATCTGGAGGTCGATGATATTTTCGCCGAGCGCCTCGGCGACACTGAGGCAATTGTTGACGTCAGGTACGTCGCCTCTCGTCCCCTTCATCCCGCTGGTGTGTCTCGAGCATCGCCATCAGCTGCTCGGGACATCGGCCATAGCTCCGGATTCTTTCGGTGGCAAAATGTTCACCGCGCCCCACGCGGTGTCGAAAGAAGGAACAAGACTCTCAGCCGCTGAGCAGCTCACTGAGAGGATCGTGCGTGTCACCTTGTGGTCTAGCCTCGGACTAGAGGTATCCACGGGACCCCCTGGGGAACCAGGCACCTTGAGCCAAAATGGCTTGAACCACAATGGCTACGGGAAGAGGAGGAGGAGGAGGAGGAGGAGAAGACAAAGAAGAAGAAGAAGAAGAAGAAGAAGAGAAGAAGGAGAAGAAGAAGAAGAAGAAGAAGGAGGAGGAGGAGAAGAAGAAGAAGAAGAAGAAGAAGAAGAAGAAGGAGAAGAAGAAGAAGAAGAAGGAGAAGAAGAAGAAGAAGGAGAAGAAGAAGAAGAAGAAGGAGAAGAAGAAGAAGAAGGAGGAGGAGGAGAAGAAGGAGAAGAAGAAGAAGAAGAAGAGGAGGCGGCGGCGGAGGAGGAGGACGACGTCGACGACATCTCGGGGAAGCGCGGAGGCGCGCCCAGGTCCGCCTACTGCGGCGGTCGCGGCTCCCAGGAAGAAGAAGAAGAAGGAGAAGAAGAAGAAGAAGAAGGAGAAGAAGAAGAAGAAGGAGGAGGAGGAGAAGAAGGAGAAGAAGAAGAAGAAGAAGAGGAGGCGGCGGCGGAGGAGGAGGACGACGTCGACGACATCTCGGGGAAGCGCGGAGGCGCGCCCAGGTCCGCCTACTGCGGCGGTCGCGGCTCCCAGGCCCAGGGAGAGCGGCGCGGAGGCGTTCTCGGCGCTCTCCTCCCAGGCGGAGGGGGCGGGGGGGAGGCCTTCGGGCGAGGGGGCGGAGGCAGCGAGAGGGGCACGGTGGCCTCCTGCTCCCAGGCGGGGGGTGGCCTTCGGGCGAGGGGTGGGGGTCAGCGAGAGGGGCACGGTGGCCTCCTGGCAGCAGCGCGGAAACAGGCGCACGGCACCCAGCCCTGGCGCCCCCTTCCACCCCCCCCCCCACCCCGAGCGCCCGAGAAGCGCATGAAGAACTGCGGGGAAGTCTCGAGCGAGACCAAGACGGATCGTCCCCCGAGACCGCCAGCAGACCCCCAGGGGGCTTCCCAGAAGCCCCAGGTGGCCCCCAGGTGGCCCAAGTCAGGACCCTCAAGAGGCCCCAAGAACAGGCCCCCCTCGAGGCCCAAAAGACACCCAAACTGTGTCCCCCGACAATACAAAGAGGCCCCAAGAACAGGACCCATCGAGGCCCAAAATACACCCAAACTGTGCCCCCCGACAATCCGAAGAGGCCCCCGACAGGCCCCCAAGACACCCCCAAACCGCCTCCCAGGCTCCCGAGGGGTCTCCCGAGAGCTCCCCACAGGCAGACCTGAGGCCTCTGCTCTGAACTACAACAATAAAAGGGCCCCAGGACACACAAATAGATACACACAATTAAAAAGATTCCCCATTGTTTTCCATATTGTTGGGTTTTTTGCCTTCCCGACCAATTCCCATATTTTCCCATATGTCCCTGGGGATCGACAATTAATTGTGTCTGTGTGTTTTTCCCCTCCTGAAACACAAGGGACCAAGGCCACTAGACAATCATCCGTGTCGGGAACTGTACAGAGTTTAGCATACTCGCTGCTGTCCGTCGTGCCAGCAGACGTGGCGAAGGGCACGGGAGAGGGAGAGCTGGAGGAAGGAGAAGAGTCGGGAAGAGGAGGAGGAGGAGGAGGAGGAAACGGAGGGGGAGGAGGAGAAGTGGAGAAATCTGAATCCTGGCGAGGCGCACTTCACATCTGGGCAAATAGCGGATCAGTCCAGACTACCCGAGACGCTCCAAAAACGGAATGGCGAAAGCCCATGGAATACATCGCACGGAAGTCTCAAACGGGAGCAGAGGTTGGTGTAGCCCGAGGGCCTAGCAACACTGGTTAACCCTGAAACCTTTCCATGAAAAAGCAGGTGCAATAGCCGAAGGGGGCATTTCGATTGAAAAATGCGACGGGCTCTGGTGAGGGGGATCGATTGGTTGTTTCTCAACAGCGAGAACCACGGTAAACATATGGATGCGTAGTATGCAGAGCGGTGCGCACATACAACAGACAATCAGGCAACAAAACTTCCCTTCTCCTCCACCCTCCTTCGCCTCGTCCTCCCTCCCCCCAGCACACTTCCGCACGTCCTCCTTGCCTGCCGAGGTCAGGGGAGGGCCCAAACCGCCCCACCCCGGCGCGTGCGGCACGGGGGAATGAGGGGAGGGAGGAGGGAGGAGACAGGAGGGGGGAGGCAGGAGGGAGCAAGGGAGGAGGCGGAGGAGAAAGACGTCCCACACGTCAGTCGTGCTCAAGGGCCGCCGAGGGCCGCCGCCCGACCTCGCCCGCAGCTGGGCGGCTCCTCCGAGTCGAGCACCGTGTTGTGGAGGTAGTCTGGGTCCGCCGAGCCGACAACCTCGGGGGGGGAGACGAAGAGGAAGGCGGGGGAGGAGGCGAGGAGAAGACAGAGGAGAAGCAGAGGAAACCTGGCACGCTCCACCAGCGATGCTGCGATACACCCCCAGGAGGAGGAGGGCGAGGAGAAGGAAGCGAAGAGCTAGAGGAAACCCAGCACGCACCACCGTTGATGCTGCAATGCAGCCCCGCCGGCCCGAGTCTCCCCTTCCCGGGGCGCTCTGGCAGGAAGCAGCAGAACCTGGCAGCAAGGCCAACCATGACATTTTCCCACATTTTGCAATCAAGATCTGTTTCCTCCCCCCAGGGAAGCGGCCCTCTCCAGCCGTGGCGACGAGGGGCCACTTCCTCCCCCCTTCCTGCTGGCCGCAGCTTGTGCTGGGCCACCTCAGCTCCCCAGCCAGCTCCAGCGTTTCTCTGTAGTCTTAGCGGACAGTACCCCGGCAGAGCACCCTCATAGCAACAAAGGTGAGAAGGCGGGTCGAGGAGTAGGAGATCATCAAGTGTGCACGGACACCGCTGACAGCAGCCCTGTGCACGTTACTGCATCTTGTACTAGGGGTCGTGGCCGTCAGCACCAAACATATAGCTGACATTGAGGCGAGAGCACGATTCATCCAAAATTGTGAGAAATTCACCAGCCCAACTAGTCAAAGGCGTGCTAAAATCTCCGGCACCAGCTTCAGGGTACGTCTGGTTCGCGCGCGCGTGGCTGCCCCTGGAGGTTCCCGGACGAAGAATATCTGGGGCAGGTCCCGGGCGGCCCACGTCACGGATGCCGGAGCTCCTGGAGGCTGCCTTCGGGGCCTTCGAGAGCGTCGCAAGGGGCCCCCAAGGCGGTCTAAGAGGGCCCAGAATCACCGGAAGTCGCTCCAAAATTTCCAAGATGGCCTCCAAACGGTTTCAACCGCATCGAAAACGCCCGAGGATGCATCCAAGACCACTCCCAAAAAGCCCCTCTGCGGGCAAAATCCAACGATTATCCATTGGTTTTGAAGTTTTCAGCGTTCTCACCTGTTCGTCCGCCGACGCTCTAAGACGGCCCAAGAAGCCCCAAAGATCGCTCCAACACGGCCCATAGACCCTCCAAGAGAGTCCCAACACGGCCTAAGAGGGCCCAAACACAGCCCAGAGGCCTCCAAGACGTACAGAGAGCGCCCCAGGACGGCCCCAGAGAGGCCCCCAAGAGGCGGCCCAGAAGGAGAAAGTCGAACGGGCCCTCGGCCCCAAGAAACGTTCAGGCTGCCCCAAGCGGCCCCCGAGAGCCAGCCCCCCGAGAGGGTCCAAAAGGCCTCCAACAGGCGCCAAGAGAGCCCCAAGAGGCATCCAAGCGCCCCCAGGAGGCCCCCAAAAGCCCATAGAACTCCTAGACAGGACCCCCCCGAGAGCTCCCCGAAGAGGCACCAAGAAACATCCACGAGGACTCTCACCCAGAGCCGCAGCAGCGTCGACCAGCAGCGCCGCACGAAGCGATCCGCCGCCCCACTAGGTACGGCGTGTGAGATCCACAGCATGGTCTTCAAAGTATGCTTTCTGCAAGTCTTCTCACCAGCGCGCTTTTCATACCTACCCTTGCCTCTGAATCCTCACAACCCCTCGTAGGGTCCTCCCCAGAACCCGCTCACTCCGCCAGCCCGAGGGCCCCAACTGCGCCCCGGTGCGCTTTCTGGCCACCACTTCCGTCCCAGAACGACCCCCCTTTCACGTGTTGGGTTCTGGGGCGCCGCCAGGTCCTCTCAGAGACATCTCTGGGAGACCTCCCTGGGCTCCTCTAGGCAGATCTGGACCGTCCTTCGGGCCACACTCGGCCGTTCCAGATGCCTCTCCACCTCTCTTCAGGTCTCGCAGACCCACATACCCCAAAAAGCAAAAAACATTGTAAAGCACATGACATGCGATTCAAACGATTACGGCCATCTCGGGTTCCTCCTTCCCCAAGGGCTCCCAACTTCGCGCTTCGCGCAGCGCGAAGCGCGAAGTGCGAATGATTTCGCGCTCTCGCGTCGCCTCCCAGGGGAGAAGAGCAGGATGAAGAGCAATCGGAACCGAACCGCGAAGCGCGAAGCGCGAATCACTTCGCGCCCTCGAGGGCGCCCTTGTTCCCCCTCCCCTGGAGCTCCCGTGCCTCCTCGCGGGCTCTTGCGGACATCTTCGACCCTGCGGGTGCTCTCCGAGGCCGTCCCGGCAGCATCACGGCGCCCTCATCGGCCGTCAGGGCCTCTTCTTGGCGTGAAGCATCCTGCGCAACGTGACCCCGAGAATCTCCCGAGATATCCCAAGAGGGTCCCCAAATATGGTCTCAGGAGGAGCCCTTGACGCCCCAGCACACCCCAACAAACGCAAATTGCCTTTTCCAAAGAGCCGCGGGAGGGATCCATGTCTCATACGCCACACAGAGCCCCGACAAACGCAAATTCTCTGGGAGGCTTCAGAACTCCCCTCAACAGGGCTCCGTGAGGACCCCCCACGTTATCCCAATGACCAGAATCATCATCATCATCATCATCATCATCAGCATCATCATCATCATCATCATCATTCATCATCATCATCATCATCATCATCATCATCATCATCATCATCATCATCATCAGCATCATCATCACATCATCATCATCCATCATCATCATCATCATCATCATCATCATCATCATCATCATCATCATATCATCATCATCACATCATCATCATCATCATCATCATCATCATCATCATCATTCATCATCATCATCATCATCATAATCATCATCATCATCATCAATCATAATCATCATCATCAGCTCAATCATCATCAGCATCCATCATCATCAATCATCATCATCATCATCATCATCATCAGCATCATCATCATCCTCATCATCACCATCATCATCATCATCAGCAGCATCATCAGCATCATCATCATCATCATCTCATGATCATCATCATCAATCATGAATCATGATCATGATCATCATCATCATCATCATCATCGTCATCATCATCATCATCAGCAGCATCATCATCAGCATCATCATCAGCATCATCATCATCATGATCATCACCATCATCATCATCATCATCATCATCATCCTCATCCTAATCATCATCATCATCATTGTCATCATTGTCATCATCAAAATCATCATCATCATCGTCGGCATCATCATCATATTCATCATCATCATTATCATCCTCAGCATCATCATCATCGTCATCATAATCACCATCATCGTCATGTTCCTCATCATCACCAGCATCTTCATCATCATCATCGTCCTCATCATCATCGTCATCATCATCATTTCATCCGCATCATCATCATCACCATAATCATCATCTGCATCATCATCATCAGCATCATCATCGTCGTCGTCATCATCCGCATCATCACCATCATCATCATCCTCAGTATCATCATCATCATCGTCATCGCCATCAGCATCATCATCATCCTCACCATCATCATCATCGGCATCATCATAGTCGTATCATCACCATCATCATCACAACCAACCCCTCATCCTCACCACCATCATCACCATCATGATAGTCATCACCACGGTTATCATCATCACCACCGTCAGCATCACCATCCTCCTCGTCATCCGAACTATCGTCGTCGTGCTGTCCATCCCTCCCGAAGACGCCCTCCAGCGCCCCCCCCGAACGGGAGCCGCCGAGCACGCTGGACTGGCACTGTGGCGGGTCCTGCCGCGGGGGGGGGGGCGAGCGAGCGGCGCCCCGGCGGCGGGAGGCGGCACGCGCGCCCCGGGGGCCAGCAGGGCAGGCGCGCGCATCCTGCGCGGAGGGGCGGCAGGGCTGCAGGGGCAGCGGCTTCGAGAGGGCAGCAGCTGGCGCGGGGACAACACAGAGGAGAGGGGGCGAGGGGCACGAGCCGGGGACGGGTCGGGTTCCATGGTCTCGATCTGGCCCCATCCTGGGCTGGAGGTGCGGCGTGGCAGAGGCCCCGAGGAGGTCCCAGGCGAGCCCCACGAGTGCCGCCGACACAGCAAAGGGAGGGCCACAACAGATTCCGCCCAGAACCCTCGAAAGACTTCCCAAGACACACACACACACACACACATATGAATTCCACGAAGAAGCCTTTCCTTCAATGCGGCATCGCCGAATCATTGGGACCCCAGAAATGCCTGACCCCCCCACAACAATGAGGCTGTACATGTGGGACGCGATTTGCGGATGTACCTAGCCGTCACGACGCCTGAAGCCAGGGGGGAACCCGAACCCAACCGTGGATGCAAGCGAACCACAGAGAAATCAAAGAATAAGCATGACACGAAATCCACGACACAAGAAAGGTGGGGCGGCGGTGTCTGCCCCGTCAGGGGCATTCAATTGAATGAATTGTGAGGATAAGGGCGGTCTCGGGCTCGACGTCCCCCCTATGGGATTCTTCCGTGGTCCTTTCTTACCTCTATGAAAACTCTCTAGCGAAACGCAATTTAGAATATGGGGTCCTCCCATTCCACCAGCGGTAGCGACACGCCATATGCAATATGGAATCCTCCCATCCCGCCAGCGCAGGATCGGTCAGCATGGAATCAGCAAATCGGATCGAATAGAAATGCGCATTGCATCGGGCTGCATGGGCACGAGATTGAAATCGAATCGGATCGGCTGCGAAATGATGCACGACAGCGCCGGGCAGGCATCGGGCCGCAAAGGATCGTCGGAATACCAGATCCGAATCGAATCGCGCAGGTATAGTCGATATCGAATCGGATCGATCGGATCGAAGTGGAACCCGACCGCGCGGGCCTTCAGGAATCGTTGCGCCGCCTCAAGCCCCTGATCTCGCATGGGCCGAAGGCCACTGGACTGCCTCCAAAAGCTTCAATATGGCCCCAATGAATGGCGACCACCGTTGACTCCCTCCTCTTCGGTGGGTCGGCGGAACGGCGAAAGCCTCTTGAACATGGAGCCCCCTCCCCACCGCCCGCGCAGGCCTTCAGGAACCGCTGCGCCGCCTCCGGCTCCAGCTTCCGCATCGCCGCCCCGACGCGCCGCCGCTCCTCGGGCGAGCCGCCGGTGAAGAGGTATCTCGCCAGGAGCACGCCCGTCTCGCCGCCGCCATCCTCGGGAAGAATGCTGCGGCAGCTCACGGGGGCCTCCCATGCCATGTTGTTGGCTCTTGCGATCCGACGCGAGTCGACGCTAATCATCGACTACCAGACGCTTGCGCACGCTAGCGTACGCTGGGGACGGAATTGCGAGGACATACAAGGTTCCCACGATTTGCTATCGAAGACACTTAACAGACTGGAGGGAAGGACTGCCTCAGCAAAGCACCCGAATACCAGCAAAGGTGAGGAGGGGCGGTGAGAGCACGGCCATGTGCGCCTCAAGGTATTTTTTAGAAGGGGATCGTGGCCGTCCGCGCCAACAAGAGGCACGCGTGCCAAGGATCATACAATCACAGATGCGGGACCATGGGAAACGGCGATGGCGCCAAGCTCTGCTAGTTTTGAAGAAGCGCGCGAATGCCGCGATCGGCCTTCAAGTGACCATGACGAGGGAGCGGCGAATTGAAGCATGACTGTGTGAATGCAGCGCATGGTTTCGATCCGAAGGTGATCTCAATATGACGGGAGAGGCTTGCGAGGTTTCAATAGCGTGTTTTCTAGTGCCGACCCTGGTATGGAGCGAAGCGCTAGGTCAGTGCGCGCTGTTCGGAGCCTTTGTTATTTGGTGTCTCTGAGGCTTCTGTGGTATCCTTTTGGAGCCTCTGCTTTAACATTATCGGTATCCTTGTGGGTCTTCCTGGTGTTTTGTTGGGCTGTCTCTGCGCGTCGTGAAAGGTTTCGGCCGTCCCGCTGCTCTTTTGGGACCTCTTGGGCCGTCTTGTCGGGGGGCCATGGAAGGAAGCGACGGGGTGGAAGGGGGGGGGGGTACGGTCGTTCAGAACCAAGGGAAGGGGGCGGGGGGGAGCGGGGTGCCACGGTCGGCAGCGAGGGGGGGGCACGGGTCGGGTCGGAGGAATGAAAGGGGTGGGGCACGGAGGGAAGGGGCGGGGGGGGCGCGGTCGGTCGGAATGAAAGAGGGGGGCGGGGGGAGGGGGGTGGGGGAGCGGGAGCGCACAGTCGGGAAGGGGGGGTGAGGGGGGCACGTCGGTCGGAAGAAGGGGGCGGCCACTGGGGGGCGGGCGGGCACGGTCTTCGGAACATGGGGATGGGGGCCACGGGGAAGGAGGGGGCACGGTCGCTCGGTATGAGGGGAGGGGGGGCGGGAAGGGGGAGCGGGGGGCCAACGGTCGGGCAGGAGGGCGGGGGGAGGCACGTCGGTGCGAGCAAAGAGAGGGGGCCACGGAGGGATGGGAGGGCACAGTCGGTCGGAACAGGGGCAGGGGCGGGAGGAGAGGGGCGGCGGCCCACGGTCTGGCAGCGGGGGAGGGGCGCACCGTCGGTCAGAATGAAGGAGGCGGGGGAAGGGGGGGCACGGGGGGGGGGAAGGGGGGGGGCACCGGTCGGAAGAAGGTGAAGGGGTCGGGGCACGTCGTGCGGGGGGGGGGGAGGGGGGGGGGGGCGGCCTGTCCGAATAAAGGATGGGGGCGGGGGGGGGGGAGCGGTCGGCAGCGGGGGGGGCACGGGCGGTCGGAAGAAGGGACGGGGCCGACGGGGGGGAGAGGGGGAGCACGGTCGGCCGGAACAAAAGAAGGGGGGCGAGGGGGGAGCGGGGGTCCACTGGCGGGCAGCGGGGGGGAGGCACGGTCGGTCAGAGTCAAGGGGGGGGGGGGGCCACGGGGGGAGAGGGGGAGGGCACGGTCGGAACAAGGGGACAGGGGCGAGGGGGGAGCAAACACCCACACATCCCAGCACCCCCAGCGCACGCCGACACATGCCGGCACACATCCCGGCACACCCAGGCGGCCCACTGCCAGCACGTATTCCAGCACAGCACAGCACGCATCCCAGCCCCCAGCGCACATCCCAGCACGTCCGACACATCCCAGCACACCGGTCCCAGCACACGGATCCCAGCACACCGAGGCAGTCGACGGACACATGATAGCACACCCAGGCACAGTCGGTCGAAATGGTGCAGTGCGAGATGTAACACCTGTAGGCAGGATGCAAATATAGCTGGCATGGGGGCGAGAGCACGATTCCCGAATGCACTGTGAGGAGTATGTCCGAGGCGAAACGGCTGCCAGCACCCGGCGGGCACGAGCTCTCCGCTGTGGTCTTGTTTTACCTCTGCTAGAACCTTCTAATGGCACGCCACTAGTCTTTCCATCTTCGATCCTCGCGGAGCCTTCTGGCCGACACCCTCTCGAGCGGGCCGTCACTGCCGCGGAGCTCCGATGGCAGCCACGCGGCACTGGCGTTGCCCCAGTCCCTTCGGAACTGTTCCTGCAGCGAGTCGACCTTCCCAGCCACTGCCTCCTCTGCGCCCACCAGGTCATCCTGCGCGCGAAACAGCAGGCCCCGCAAAACGGCCACCCCAGTGCCGACCAGGGCCCGCAATGTCGCATTGGCCGCACGCGATGCGGAGATATCCGTCAGAACAACTTGCTTGTCCTCCACCTGAAGCATGGAAGCTATTCCGCTCCGGAGCTTGCCAGCCTGGGCGTCGGAACTGAACTGCTGCACCTCGCCGGGCGGAACCCGGAACTCGAGCCGGCCTCTGATGGCGTCCGCAGGCGCATCGGAGGAGCCGTCAGAACTCCACATAGAGCTGAGCGTCGTCACGCCACCTGGCAGAGGTAGCGCCAATGACGTGGTCGACGACGGTGGCTCCTTTGATGGAAATGCAGCTGTGGTGGTCGACGTGGTCGGCGAGATGGGCGAAGCTCGTGTGGTCGGCGCAGTTGTCGTCCGGGTGCTGACAGTCCGCTCGACGACGTTGCTCCAGGTGGAGCGGGTCAGCTCGTCCCCTTCTCTCGAGGACGTCAAGGATCGCACCTTGAAGTATCTCAAGCTGGGTCGACCATCCGAGAAAGCCCAGGTGTCGGCGCCGCCCGACACGATGAACGACGAGGCGTTAGCGAAATTCTCCGACTCCGAGGCCCACACCTCGTCACACATCGGCTCACACTGAGCGTCGACCTTCACGGAGAACTTTCCCTTGCCGAAGCTCGACCGCTGAGCCTTCTGCCAGCTCAGCTCGTCGCCGTCGACCTCCGCCGCGACGTCGGAGTCGCACAGCGACCTGCCAAAAGGCCCCGGCTTGCCGGGTTGGCAGAAGTCGCACTCCCGGCACGCGGAATCGCAGGCCTTTGGGCGGCAACGTTATAGGCGGGGCTGGCTGAGGGGGGGGAACATCGACCTGGAATCGGCGATGAGTCGCCGACAGATCGGCGATAGAGCCCCGATGGCAACGTGGGCTACTCTCACCAGCCCTCTGGGTTAGGTGGTTTAGGGTGTTTCCTCTTCCACCCCTCCTTCTTCCCCTTCGGGGAGGGGTTTATCACTGTTCCCTATTATTATACACCCCCTCCCCCAGGCGACTGAGAGCCAACCCAGGTCCATGAGGGCCCCCCAGACCATCCCTTTTTAAAAAAAAAAAAAAAAACAAAAAAAACAAAACAAAAACATACAAAACACACTCTGCCCCCACCATCCCTAAAAACGAAACCATACAAAACACACTCTGTCTCCAAATTCGGAGCATGCGCAGCGAACCCGATGCGGCCTCCACCCACCATCCCTGTCAAAAAAACAACACAGAGTACACTTGGCGGCGACGGCGGCTGCGGCGGCTGCGGCGGGGGCAGCGGCCGCGGCGGCTGCGGCGGTGGCGGCGGCGGGGGCGGCGGCTGCGGCGGTGGCGGCGGCGGGGGCGGCGGCGGCGGCGGGGGCGGCGGTGGCGGCGACGGCGGCGGCGGCGGTGGCGGCAGCGACTGCGGCGGCAGCGCTGCGGCGGCGGCGATTTGGCAAGCGGCGGTGGCGGCGGCGGCGGCGGGCAGCGCGCGGCGGCGGCATCGGCGGACAGCGGCGGCGGCGGCGGCGGCGGCGCAGCGCCGGCAGCGGCGGCGGGCGGCGGCGCGGACTGCGGCGGGGCGGCGGCGGCGCGCGGCGCGGCGGCGGCGGCGGCGGCGGGCGGAGGCGGCGGCGGCGGCGGAAGCGGTGGCGGCGGCGGGTTGGCCCCCGGTAGCTGGCCATCCAGAGACGACTGCTGCTTATGCTGCGGCGGCGATTTGGCAGCGGGAGCGGCGGTGGCGGGCGGCGGCGGGCAGCGCGGCGGCGGCGGCATCGGCGGACAGCGCGCGGCGGCGGCGGCGCGCAGCGCCGGCAGCGGCGGCGGGCGGCGGCGGCGGACGGCGCGGCGGCGGCGGCGGCGCGGCGGCGCGGCGGCGGCGGCGGCGGCGGGCGGCGGCGGCGGCGGCGGCGGAAGCGGTGGCGGCGGCGGCGGGTTGGCCCCCGGTAGCTGGCCATCCAGAGACGACTGCTGCTTATGCTGCGGCTCGGGCCAGGCTCGGGTGCTACGTATGTGTTGGGAGGGCGGGTGGGAGTGAGCGAGACGGCTTGCGGGCGGGGAGGGCGTCTTGACCCCTCCCCATACCCCCTTCCTGGACCTGGACGGGGCCGGTTCCAGGTAGTTAGAGCGCCCAAAACGGCCTCGGCGAGTAAGCCAAAATCCTCGGTTTGACCATGGTTTGGGCCCCTTTTGGCCCCTTGGGGGAGCAAGGCTACTTGCCACCCCCCCTTCTTAGATCGATGGCCTCCAAGATGCCCCAAAAGCGCCCAGGAAGCCCCAAAAGGCCCATAGATGACGCCAAGATGGCTCTAGGAGGCCCTCAACCCCTAAAGGCCCCTCCGAGGCACCCAAGACACCCAAGAGCCCCCCAGGACTGCCAAGAGACCCCCAAGACGTCCCAAGAGGTCACCAAGAAGCGCCCAAGGGAAACCCCAAGAGGCTCTGAGAGGCATCCAGAAGACCTCTGGCTCTTTTGCTTACCCTCCTCCTTCTCCTGCTCCTGCTCCTGCTCCTGCTCCAACTCCTCCTCCTGCTCCTCCTCCTCCTGCTCCTCCTCCTCCTCCGCCTACTCATCCTATTCATCCTCCTTCTCCCGCCTCCCTCATCCATCCATCCAACCTCCTCCTTCTCTTCCTCCCTCCTTTGCACGGTTCGTCCGTCCCCCTCTTTGCTCCCGCACTTCCCTGATCACCTCAACTAGCCTGGACATCGTTTCTAGGTGGGCTGGTGGGGATACTTTTTGATA